AAAATCCGAAAAGATAGTTTTATTTAAAATAAAATAAGAAGGTATCGCAATCATCAAGTTTAACGAAGTACTCAACTCTTTTTTTACGTCCCACTGCTGGGCGCGGACTTCCCTTCAGTACGATGGAGATCAGGTTATAGTCCACCACGCTGGCCGAATGGGGGGGCGGACTTCACACATGCCTTTCGAAAACTTGCTAGGTTCCCTGAGAAATGTGATTTTCTCACGATTTTTTCCTTCGCCGCAAGACAAGCGGTAATCATGTTGAAAATGATTCGCACATGAAAATATCCCAAGAGTGAGACCTCAGATTTGAACTGGCTTCAGTTGGTCACATAAATAAAAACAAAAAAATATTATATCAAGACTTTAGCCTCACGCACGTGTATTGTAAGAGCGGAAATTATAAAATCATATACATATATTGCGAAAGGATATTGTAAATGTAAAATCTAGTTTTTAAAATAATTATGAAGTCCGTTTTGTTCATACAAACACAATCGGCATGGCGTATAAAACGGTGTATCTATTTTTACTCTTTAAATTCAGCCCAGTACATTTAAAGCCGTCTAGCCATTTTCAAGTGATGAAAAATGAACAACGAAACAAACAGAAAAAATATAAAACTTTATTATATGATATAAGTAGCATCCATCAATTTGAAAATAATTTTGGCTTCCAAAATCATATTGCTTTCACTGAACCACATACAGTCTACAGCAGGGATTCCCAAGGCAAGAGACCCCTTTTAAAAATGAACTGATACCTCAGACCCCCATAGCCAAATTACTTTAAAACTCTTCCTACCTCCAGTTTTTTCCTATTGATACAAAATACTTACCTATTTAAAAAAATTGCGGTTCGCTAAATGAGTTTTATAAAACTACAACAATGATACTTCCTACTAAAATATTAGTCATTCTTGTAACAAGTTGATACACGTAACACAACTTATACAGTATCTTGAAAGTTTCAACTAAGAACTTGTATTAATTAATAGGGGTCGATTTTTAGACCTCGTCGACCCCTAAAATCAGGTTTCGTTTATGTCGACCCCTGGGAAACCGATATCGACCCCTTGGATTTGAACTATCTTGGAAAATTTAAGGAATAGTTATTTTATTAAAAGTTCACAAGTACTAAAACAATATAATAGAAAAATAAAACGGTTAAATGAACTTAGGAATACTCAATTGATTTAATTAATACTGGGAGCACAAGACGTGAAAATAGGTCAATAGAATTATACCTATCGATAAAATACAAAAGGACTCTTCGGGAATAATTTAAATCAAAACAGTGTCAAATTTATGTTGAAAGCGTCACAGCTTTTGTAAAAGCTTATTTCTTAGTCACCATTGTGTTCGTTAAAGACAAACTTAAAGATCTCTAAGGACTATACGAGACTCAAGTGTCTAGACTGATTTAATCTTTAACGACTAGAACGAACAAGTGATGTAATCAATCGATGTACTATATTTTATTAACCGACGACAAAAAAGGAGGAGGTTCTCAATCGAAGTTAGTGCCAGTAGTCTGATTTCGACGACCATATATTTGATTAGGTATCTATAATAAATGAAAATTACGAATCAATTATTTTGTTCTTTTTTTTTGAAGTAAGTTTTTTTGTTTTTATTTTGGCGAATTACTTTACCTTCGCTTTTTTATCCCTACCAAATTTTGATAGTTTCTTAATTGTTAGTGGGAGTAATAATATATATGCATCATAGTTTCCTCATTTTAGAAAAACGATCAGAAATTAAAACTATACAATTTCCTTTCAAAACAATAATATGTTTTTTTTTCAATCTTTATTTTAAAGGGGTTTGGTCGTAGAGTGATCATGCCTCCCCCATAGAAATAACTAAAAATATTTAATACAACTTACAATAAATATCAAAACTTAAATATTTCTATGTCTTAATCCATATCAAACATGACTTAGAGACTCGATTTCCTAATGATATTATTGATTGATTATTATTTTAATTTAAAAGTTATTTGTTTTTTTTAATGTCAGTATTAATTGAGATTCAATAACACAAAAAGTCAATTACGTTCTTTGGAGTGTCTAAATAATATTATTCCAACAGGAAAAGATTCAAAAGAAAAAGGTATAGTAGACCATCCAATATATCTTCGTTATTAGAAACCTTTACCTTTACAGAATATAGGGAATTGCTTAAGGCTTACAAACCCATTAAATATTTTGTTTTTTACCATACATTTTTCATATTTAGTATTTGGAATTTTAAGGTTGCCTTCAAACAAATAAAGCGACTTACCGTCGCTTCGCTCGAGTTCGTCCCTACTTACGTTTTAAAGTTTAGTATTGATTCCTCAGAGATGAGATATTTTTACGGTGTAAAAAGTATCCTATATGTTAACCCGGATAACCAGCTATCATCATACCAAATTTCATTAAAATCCCTCCAGTGGACAGACAGACAAACAAAAAATCTAAAAAGTATAGATTCGGCCTGTGTATCGATAATAATATCTATTTCAATAGGATTTCCCAAAAAATATTTAATGTACAGATTCGGCTTAGTTACAATTTTATTATATGTATAGATTACCTATCTGTTTCTCTGTAACGTACTCGTAACATTCACCCGATTAAGAAGAAATTAATGTATATGACAGAACTAATGGTATTTAACGTGTTAAAAATATCACACAGTTCTTACCTAATGCAAACTGCAAGTGAAGAGATCTCCGCACACTTGAGGTCTCATTGCATGTCTGAAACTTAGCAAACACTCTGCTTTTGTTGAAGGTGGGATTGTAGGAAATAAGTCTCCAACTTTGCTCTAAGTTTACCTCAATGTGTATTTATCAACTAAATACCTTTATACTGGATACTTTATGGAATACACTATATATTTCAATAGGAAAATCTATTTATATTTTAAGTAATACTATTCGACTGTCTATACTAATATTATAAAGAGGCATAGTTTGTTTGTTTTGTTTGTTTGTTTGTTTGTATGTTTGTTTGTTTGAACGCGCTTACTAATCCGATTTATAAAAAAATTGACATTAGATAGCCCGTTCATTGAGGAAGGCTATATATCATATAACATATATTCTATCTATTACATACTAACCGTTAAAACGTACCTAGGGACGAACCCGAGCAAAGTGAGGTTGAGTCGCTACTTATATACGTATAATTCTTTCATCATTCATCGATTATGTACTTTTGCAGGAAATTTAACTGAAAATTCTTAATCAGTTTAATTTGTATTTATTAAGTTTTTGCTATCGCCAGAAACCATTTTCTTTCGATAAGTCATAACTACATGACCAGAACTAAAAGCGATTTCGTCTTCAAACTTCTGTCTTAATCTTGGAAGGGACTTCTTATTAACGTAGTATTCGAAAGTTATACGTCGAAACTTTTTGCAATAATCCAATAACCGTATTTTATGAAAATGATGACACTTCGATCATCCGATTCACTGGAGTTGAAAGATAGAGTGGTACGATACATTTTCCAATTAAAATTTTTCATATGGATTTTACAGGTATGCTTGAAAATATCTTACATAGGTTTTTTTCGTTACTTTAGCTTTAATTTTTTTCGTTTTTATCATATGGTAACCATTACGGTATGGCATACCTTATGGTACACTAATATGATTTTTAATTATTTCATATTAATTAAATATTATATGACATATACCTACCTATATATTCGTCGTTTAGATGTTAAGATAAAAAACTTTGCTTCTCTTGTATAAGGATATAAATAAGTTCCGAAAATGTATTTCTTACAAAGCAAAACGTGATGCAGCACCGTCTTACAATGTAGCTGATGAAGTAAATTTTAAACGTATTTTGCAGAGTTACGAGTAGAGATGGCACAACTTTCAGTAGATGTCTTGAAATTTATTTCAAACAGCAGCAGCAAGATGAAATTTCTGTCTTTTAACTTAAGCCAGGGGTTTGAAAAGATAGTGTAAAATTTGATTAAATATTCTCGAAACTTATAAGAATGGTCACGTATTTTACTAATTTTCAAACGTTAGATGTATAAGCTTGGCTACCGTAAATCTTTAATAAAACCATTCATCTCAAATAACCCTAACTTCAAATGCTTTCTCGTTTTGTCGGGCATCGAATGGACGTAATTTGTCTCTAACTGACCCTGGATAGATGCCAAATAGTGGTACAAGTTCTGCTAGGGACAATAATATATTGATTTCGATGTGAAAATATTGCATTGTCTTGAAATTATTGTAATGAGGCATGTGTTTGGTTGGAACTTCATTATAATACTACGAAGATGTAAGATTATAATTAAATAATATTTGACTATAAATATAATGAACTAATATTTATTTATTATTATAATTGAAATAACTTAATTTTTACCTATTTTGTATATTTGATGGAGAGTACAGACGATAAATATATATTCCGTGCAATTAAAAAATATTTAGTTATTCTTGTTTTAAAATTGGATACACGCCGAAGTGGCATACGACCATGGCTGTTCTCTGAACATCGCTATAAATATAATTATGTATATTAAATACATCAAAATATATTACGTATAAATTGTATTTACTAAAAAATAAATATTGAATAGTTTGTAAATTAGAATTTCAAATGAGAATATTTTCTTGTTTTGTACTTTTTAGAACGTGATTTTTCACTAGTCGGGTTTTACTTTTTGAACTAACTTTTTATCTCCTCCCAGACGTTATATGACAAGGTGATTTTATATATTTTACGTCGTAAAAACTGTTGAGAGTTTAATATACAAAAAATAAATAGGGTATCTTTAATGTAGAAAGAAGCCAAACTTAAAGTTTTATAATTTTTGTTATTTTGTCCTCCTAGCATACTTATATGTATACTCCTATGTATAATGATAATATAAGGTATATAAAAATGATAAATAACATGACATCAGATACTCTCCCTAAATACCCTATGATCTTTTTATTTCGTAAACTATTTTTTGATATAAGACATTAACTTTCTAGGAACGTTTAAGCACTGAAGAGATCACCCGTTTAAGCGACGTACGCAACTTGGTCAACCAGCTGTACGAAGCATTGAACGTTAGGGAGCATCAGATACGCAAGGAGCGTGAACTGAGAGCACAATTGGAGAAGCTTTCCACTGAACTGCAGCCACTTGAAGAGGTAATTGTATGAAAATTGTACTATTTTATTGTACCTGTGTATAAACGAGGGAAATAACACAAAAAAAGAATTTTCACTTAGGGACTTGCCGAGGGACGGTAATATTATTCAAGCGTATATTGTGTGTGTGTGTATATATATATATATATATATATATATATATATATATATATTATATTGTAACAGAAGCCAATATAACAATAACGTTGTTCTTAGTATCCTTTTTCCCACATGTATCATACAAATGACAACTGGGCGTATTTTATAGGAGCAATTTATTGCATTCATTTCAATCGGTTGAGTGGATTCAAAAAGATACATAGCTACAGTGCAGTCCTGTGTGAAGCGGTTATATATTCTACATCATATACATATGTATATGCTGTTTGTATACTAAATAGGAAAACGGGCTAATGAATTCATGTCAAGGATCTATTATATAAAATAGGATTCAAATAAAAGGAATGGTACTCTGGAAACTGCGATATAAACTAAAAAAAACAATGGTGTATGGCTTGCGTGATCTATCATGATGACCATTGGAATAAAAACATTGATTCCACAATTAATTGTAAGTATTTAACTTGTATAGGAGTGGTTTCAGTGCCTAAAATTTATCTTAAAAATCTTGATTTCTTGTTAGTTGTTTAAGAATTATTTGTCTTTACTATATATATGTATAAACAATACTAAGGTTATTTTCTAAGGTTTACGTAAATTAAAGTCTAATAGGACGACTTTCTGACACCACCAGTGAAAGATCAAACGGAGGAGCCACTTCACGTACTTTTTGAAACACGAGGGTGTAATATAACACCAACTTTCCAAATTCTCACTACTAATAATGTTATCTTAACGGTCCAATCTCTGTTGACGGATCTTTAAGCCCGACCGAGACTCGAGTATTGGAGCCGTATAATCTTATATTTAGATGAAATAAGTAGTAAATTAAAGATTGCATGAAGAGATACTGATTTGTGATGAAAGAGATAATTATTTGTCTTTAGTTCAAAACAGATATCAATCGAATGTAACAAATTCGCAACTAAAATCTAAAGCAACAAAAATGTAAAACTATCGTAATATTTAATATTAAAAATTCCTTTGGAAGGAATATTAAATATTACAGGTACTCGTCTGCAGGCACTTCCGCTACGTAAGTTATAAAGAAGGCACGAACAATAGAGTTATGACTCACAAATATTTAATATTCGTTTGGTTTATGCTGAGGTTTTGTTAGCTAGGAACTCTGAAAATACAATATGTTTTAATTTAACTTATGAAATTTAACCAAAATAAATTAGTTTTTGTAAAAGTTGTCAAGTTAATAAGGTGGTCCCCCCCAACATGCGTTCACCTTGTCGTGGTGGGGGGGCTCAGTAGTAGTAGCGAAGCTAAGAAACGCACAGGGAGGTGGCCCACTTCGGTGGGCGGTGTACCATGCGGGTTGCTCCTGGTACTTCTCTGATAGCAGAGTGGACCTTGGAGCAACCCCATGGTTGTGGTGGTCTGCTTTGGCAGACCTGCCGTCTGGGCGTCGTAGTTGAATGCGTAAGCGATCCTGCGACGCCCCATTAAGACGGGGGAAGGTTTTGTTGGGTTTTAGTGGGTAGTACTGGTTGTATTACGCCGGTGAGTCCCACACGTCGTGCGTAAATGCATTTCCCAACGTTAAAAAAACGTTAAACAGGTGGTGGTGTAAGCACTTAGGTGAGATTCATAGATCTTACTTTACTTTAAGTCAGAGTCGATTTTGCAAAGTGAAGATATGATACATTTCTTTTGCTAAAGTAGAACTTTGTCATAAATTAAAGCGTGTACGATCTATGGATCTCGTTCTTAGTAACAATGGGCATTATTGTCTTCTTTTACTATAAGATTGCAGGATAGAAAAACCGTTGAGAACCACCTTCTAATATAGTTGACTTAATGTAGTATTTATTTCTTTTTATTAATTTGTTTGCTTGTAACACACCTACGATTAATTTTATTGATAGCTCAGGCTCTAGATTTGCTAAGTCTCTATCGATTTCCAAAGGTAGTGGTGGTCTTAACTGAAATGGAATTATTTACAGAACGCAGGAAGTACCCCATATGCTGTATTTTTTTTATTGTAAACATAATTAATTTTTACTGATTGGATTGGATATTATTTTATGAATGAACAATGTGGATGAATTTCTAAAGATACCATATTAAAAACAAAAAACGTTTTAGACAATTAAGTTTGGGGACCTCTGGTTTAGGCAAACCGTTTTAAATAATTTAAAATCCCAATCTATTATACCGAAATATGCCAACATCAAACTAGATTACTCAGAATAAGTCTAACAAATAGACGAGCTTAATCCGAGTACAGTATTACCATATACGCTAGATTACTTTGCACTTCGCCTATTTCCGCAATTAATTGCGGTAGTTTGCTTCAATTAGGGTTTTTAATTACGTGTGCATTTAGCACACAGTGTCGAATATTATATTTCGTAGCACAAGCTGTTTTTACACACTAAGCAGATTATTGTATTCTTTTACTGTCTCGGTGTACTAACATAGTTATTTACAAGCGTTAGTATGAATTTCACAAAGTATTGATATAATACTGTTCTCAACAATTTTAATATTTCAAACTTTTTTTACTATTTTTTCTCGAGAAAAGCTAACTATAAAGCTACCGAGCTAATAATACGAGTGTCTTTATATCCTATTATTGTTTTAAAAACAACTAATTAATATATAAAATATAATTTGTTACAGTTGAGACAATTTCGTGTCGTATATATATTATAATATTTTTAAGAACCTATCAAAAAAATTAAAATACAAAACAATTATTCATATGTGTAAAAATTAGTTTGTATGTATAATGCTATATATAAAAAAACACATTATTTCAGAAACGTATAGCCCTCGAGGCTGAAACTACTCGTCGTACATCCGCCCTTACTTGGATCGGCCTAGGTCTAATGGGCGTGCAGTTCGGGGTACTCGCCAGGCTCACTTGGTGGGAGTACTCTTGGGATATCATGGAGCCTGTCACGTACTTTGTTACTTATGGCACTGCTATGGCTGCGTATGCATACTTTGTGCTTACTAAACAGGTAAACCGATTTTTAAACTATAAATATATAACAGTATGGCTTTATTTACAAGAAAAGAAAATATATTAAAGTTTCAAATGTACTTAATTATATATACAAAATAAATGTACCCTTAATTTTACTATACAAGTTATGTCCTCATGAAATTGTCGTATGAATGCTAGCTAGCTACATTCTCCCGCCGAACGGTCATTTCCATTCTTGGGAGAAAAAAGAACTAGCTCTCTTGTCATCAGCAGAGGCGATAAGACGAGATGTTGTTTTTTAAGAAGAGTCAATTTAGTGTTAATAGTACTCATATAAAATTTTTTAAAATAAAATATCTTTGTACATATTGACATTTTTCTTCTAATTAAATGTTTTGGTAATCACTCCTTTATTTTTGTTTGTAAATCTTGAGTTTTGTTTTTTTTTAGGAATATATACTGCCAGATGTAAAGGATAGGCAACATTTAATCATGTTACACAAGAAGGCGAAAAAGATTGGGCTCGACATCAATCAGTACAATAATTTAAAAGACGAGGTAACTATATTTTCTTTTTTTTTTATTTATTTATGTACCAGAAAAAAAAACATATACGTGAAAACAGATACCATGTGTACAAAGGATGACTTATCTCTTTAAGAGATCTTTAAGAGACCAGAAACCCTCAAGCGTGAGAAAATATAAAAGTGTAGGTGTAGGTACAAACTACAAACATCAATTATAATATAAATAAGTATACATATACAAACATACATATTATATAGATACATAAACAAACATACATAGATACATACATACATATTTACATAGACACATACATACATATTAAAAATTTGAAGGTTATTGTTCACAACTGAAACGTTTTTTTATTTGGGTTTTCTTTTTACTTATGAGTATTCAAAGATACTTACAATTGTTTTATGTACAAATAAAGAATATTTTATGTACAGACAATGTTATTATTTTTTAATTATAATAATTGTAATTATTATGATTTTTTTATTAATTTTATGGTACTAGTTACTACTATTAGAGTACAAAAGTTTGTATGTAAGCTGCCTTTATTAAATATAAATAGTTAACCTAAAATTAAATAAAATTGCCTTACTACAATCGATATCGCTTTAAAATTTTCTTTAAAAACATACCATTTTTAAAGACAAATTTCAGCCATGTCACATTATACATATCTACATACCATTTTTAAAGACAAATTCCAGCCATGTAACATTATACATATCTATGCATAGCTATATATTTTTAAGCATAATAACGATAATGATTGCAGTATATCACATATATATGTATTAATTTGTATATATGTATTAATTCCAGGTAGACAAATTACAAAAAGACTTGGCCCGCCTTCGCGATCCACTGCACATACACTTGCCACCTAACATCAATAAAATCGACGACGTTAAACGCTCACCCTTGACCAAAATTAAGGACATGCTAGAGGAGACTACCAAAAAGATGAAAATAACGTAATACATACAATTGTTGCAATATATATAGCTTGTTGATTCTGTTTTGACCGTGGTTTTTGTTTGGACGTTGAACTATATTGTACTGATTTGGTGCTATCACGGAGCATAGTAGTAAAGAATTGTTATTGACTTTTGATATATTTTTTTTAATATATTTTTTTGGTTTTGTTAAAAATACACATAATATATTAACAATTTAACAATAATCTATATATAATTTTATTAAAATAATGGTTGAATTATCGCACAAAGGCTATTTATTGCACAAAGCAAACAATCGAGTTCCGTGATAGCGCCCAATACTAGATAGTAAAAATTTGAAATGCACAAAAAATATCACTGCATGTTAAATTAATATTAAAGGAGAATTGGTGAATAGCAATAAAATATTAGGTACGTATGGTTCAATAAAGTTGAAAAAAGAAACAAGTCCGAAGATTTATTAGACAAAGAAATAACTAATAACGGTTTATCCTTGAACTATTGTGGCTATGATAAGTTATTTTATTTATAATATATTTTAGCTACATTTTCATCTATTTAAATGTTATTTTAGTAGAAAATTATATTGGCTCCAAAGTATCTGAAGTTATAACTACCTCTTTCTATTTTCTAAAGCTGAAAGAGATGGAGTTATTTAATTATTTTTTTCTAAATCTTTCAAAAAGTTGAAGATTTTAAAGAAATTAGAACATTTTTAAATTATTACTTTATTTAATTTATTGATTTTATTTCGAACTTATTTAGAAGAATGTTTTAGCAATGTTTTATTTCTTTCATCTTTGTCATAAAAATATCAACTTCTTATTCCCTACGTTACTCTAATATGGGATAGCCTCAAACCATTGATATACAAAAACTCAATATACACCAAAAGTGTGCTCAAAAATAAGCGCACAATTCTAGTGAGGACAATTGAATAGCGCTTTTTTTCAAATCTTTTGCTCATTGCTTTTCGGATGACAAAATGAAAACCCACGTTGTTTCGTTTAAAAAAGTACTTTATGTGATGTGCGTTAAGGTGGAAATTGTGTTTAGACAATTAGAGATTTCGATTTTAGAATTTTATTCTTTGGTTTGACTGAACGTCACCTGTCAATGCCACTTTATGAAGAGATATTTGTTAGGAAATGTGTATCCATGTTTTTATATATCAATGACATAAACGAATAAAATAAGATAGATGAAGCGTCTATAACAGGAGACGAAACCAAAGAAAGCCGTTGATGTATGAAAGAAAATATATATATGTAAATCAAATATTATTTTTAATGTTTGATGTTTTTGTTCATGTGCAATACGAAATATTTACTTTATCATTGAACGGTGGGAATTGTATTATAAACAGCTTTAATACTATTTTAAGCTTCAATCAGTATCTTGTACGCTCCGTCTGTCTTATTATTTTAGTCGGAGGATGTAGCATGTTCAGTTTCGCTTTAGATGAAAATTTGTATACGTCATACGCTTATCTTCTTATATTGCTGTTACTCCTTTATAAATAAGAGGTATTTGGTGTTTGAATTGTATAAAATTTATTTAGTTGAATATGTTATAATTTGTTAGTATTTCGCACTTGCTCAGAAATATTGTTTCCTATTCATTATAAGGTATTTTAGTGGATGTACAGAAAAACTACGTACGCGTACCTCTGTGCCAACGTGTTTACGAGAATCTAGTATAAGGATTCGAAGACTTTGCCTCTTTGCAATATAACTATATCTCATTAAATTAAAAAAAAACATAACTTATTATTATTTGTATTTAAATTTAGAAAAAATATATTATTTAAATCAATTTTATTCATTTTAGTTATGAGAAATAAGTATATTCCTAGTGGTAATTTGTATTTATTCCTAGTAGTAATTCTAGTCTTGAAATTAGGACTTTTGGAGTGTGTTCCTTTTGGCTTGCCTCTAATTCAAATAAAAAATATAAAATTTTTTACAAGTTAAAATTTAAACAACGCACAAAAATGTTAGTGCTTGCAACGTGCTCGAATTTTATTTTTGGTTTAATTTAATTTGTTAAGATGTTACATTTTAATGTTGTGAGTTGATTTGTAATTAATTAAAAAAAATCCTTTTGGTATCTAGTATTTTTTTTCTGTAATTAACATGTCTAGATTACTAACTCTATACTTGTGAAAGTGTTTGACCAAGTTTAGAAATATATAAATCTAAGGATTTACTAACTTAAACAATAGACATATAACATAATAATAAAAATGGCGTAATTTAAAATGAGAATGGCGGTTTTCTTATTAAAAATGATAAGCTACGTAAAAAATGTTAAGCTTGAAATTGTTAATACTTTGTATGTATGCTTAAAATGTATTGCGTATTTAGTAATAACGTCTTAAACGAGCCGTAGGTATAATGAAGGCTGTGAAATAAATGTGAAAAGCCATTTCAAAATAAAAAAAATATAATATTATGGTAAATAAAAAAAACTGAATTCATCTTTCATATTATAATAAAATTTATGTTAAGTTAGAAAAACGTTCACTTATTATTATTTATCATCTCTGTCCATTTCTTCATAATATTTATACTCTAAGAAAATTGTAACCTAGATAAAAAGTTTCTTATTAAATATTGTTATATAACTGTCACTCTTAAATAAGTTTTATGGCCTTGAACTTACGGTCTAACATACTTTGTATATATCCTTTATAGAGCTATAAGCACGCACACTGTATAATATTGGCGATGATTTTGCAATGAAAATAACGCCATATTTTCGTCACAATTAGTTTAAGTATCAGCTCAATTTTTAGGAGATTAATGAGACAAATGTTATATATATATATATATATATATATATACATATACGATAATTTTATTACTGATATTTTATGTCCTTTATCAATATATTTTATAATATACTTGAAAAATCATTAAAATATGTCAAATAAGTCTGCCACTATTAACTATTGATAATACAAAATACATGATCTATCCAATTTTGTACCATTTTTTTTTGTTTAATTATCGATATTTCAGTTCGTAAAAGCAAAAATTTGAAAAAATAAATATTCGTGAGCCTCTAACTTTGTTGTTATTGATGATATGAAAAAGTTGTCATAGACTTTTTTATACGATTTTAAACGTACTACAAATTTGCCATTACAAATTTTTCTGTAACTCTTACAGTTTAGCTAAAAAAATGCAAAACATCATAAATTTGAACTTTAAAGCTAATATATAAGGTTAAAAGTGCTGAATTATTATTAGTATCTCTTCGGATTTCACGGGCTCGAAGGGGCTCGGTTCTTTGTAAAGCTTGAATAAGGACATGGGGCCAACACGTAGAGGCAAAGATTCAAGTTTGTTTAATGTGACGCATCAGCCGGGATCCATCTCTGAGTAATCCATACGGAATTGCTCAATGATAGTCTCCAGATAATGCGTAGGAGCTATGAAAAATATATAAAACTAATTGAATCTATGGAAACAAGCTAGGGGATGGGATGTAGAACTGGGCTATTGCTATTGGATCAGAATAGCGGACGTCTGCCTTCTGAACAGTAAACATTGAACTTAGGTCTAAGGACAGACTGTGTAAGTGGTGAATTATTATTTTCATTGCAAAATAATCGTCATCCAGCTTTCTCTTGTGATTTGCTACTTCGCCTTTTAGAGACTTCTCGAATGTTTTTCTAGTAAAATAATTTTTTTATATACATACTTAGTCAATAAGGTCGGAGCAAAGCTTCTGTTCGAGTTATTTACTGTAGTACGAAATAAACAATTTTGTAACTTATTTTGGAAGTTAAGTATATTTTTGAGAGAACTGTGTTGGTTGATTGTTTACATTCAAAATGAACTGTCGTTACGTTATATATCATTTATTACATTTAAATATTTATTATCTGTATCACATTTAGTAATAGGTAACACGTTATCAATAGATAAAAAATATGTTTTATATTCTATTATACATGTATGTTTGTACGTTATTTTTATTACGCTATTAATGTTAAAAAAATATTAATTTTAATAATCTTATTTTGTATTAAAAATGAAAACTACTCCCGGCTTTTAATAAGTTTCATATCGACTAGACACTTCGTTCAAACTCGCATGTAGTTAGGTATTTAATGATAGATATGTATATCTTAAGTAATAATTTAACCACATACTAACTTTCCTGTTTATTCACTTATGAAGATTGCCAAATTAACCTTCCAATTTATGCATTTCTTGTTGACTTTGTTACACTTTCGATGTCTCATTAACATGAATATAATTTCTAATATTACAATTTACATTGGTAATTAAAGTGTATAATTTTATATAATATGATTATAGTTTACATGTTTATTATTATATATTATTTTAGGTTATTTTTATTTAATTATTTGTATCTTTTTGTATAAATTAGTTTTAGGAATTATATTCGTGTATGAGTCGTTAGTTATAAATCGTTATTGGTGGAGTGACATTCGGGAGCGCAGTGAGAAGTTCACACTGAAATATATCAGCCAGACTCCTTGTAATAGTTACTATTTTGCATTTTGTTAAATTTACAGTCGTGTTCGAATAAATTTGTAAAAAAATTCCGTCTTTCAATCTTTCCTTGGACTTTTAAATTAAACTCACGTTGAAATATGAAGTCTTTATTTGCGGGACAATTTATAAAACATTTTATTGGGTTTAAAGCCTTATTTGGTCGTATTTTTTGTGTGTTTATTTTTGGCCTACGTTTCATCATTTTCCAAGGCTTCAGAAGGCGATATCGGCTTAGAACCGAATGGGTATAGATCAATGCTTTGTACATGAGCCCTAACTGATACGCCTGGAGGGATACCGAAGTAGTCCTCTCCAATATTCCTAATAATAGTGGTGTCAGGTTTCGAATGGTGTATGTTAAATCCTACGGCATATTCGGGTTTACTCTTATCGCCGTCGTCATCGTAATCGTTGGTTATAATCGTTTCTTGGGTAGGTTTTAGTGGTACGTAAGGTTTCTTCGTCGGCCTATAAGGTTTGCTCGGACGCCACGGTTTGCCTGTAAGTGAACGGTTACTGAATCTTTGTGCGCTCGCAGTGCTTTGGTGCCGAAGGGTGTGGTGTAATAAAAACCAGTTTGATAGTGAATAATATTTATTGCGATCAAGCAATTTATTATAGAAGTAATTCCAAAGTGCGTCCTGTGCAACTCGATTGAATATTGTGATCTTGTTAATAAAATGGCACATTAAATACGGGAATTCAATTTCTCTTTCAATGAAAGAGAATTTAGAAGCAATAAGCAATCCTCAGTCAGGTTTCCAAACAAAAGTTGATGAGAAATGATTTCGGATGAACAAGATCACTAACGTCAATCACTTGCCATCATCCGTGCTATGCATCACCTTGTCCTTTGGTCGGTTTGGGCCCTGCAAAGGTTTCTTCCTCGTCTACGTAACCCACGTCAGGGATTTCGCTTGGAGGTTCTTGGACAAAAGTCGGTCCTGGTCCATATCCTGGCTCTCCAGCCGGTTCTTCTGCAGAGTCGCTGACTACAGGTGTAATAGGCTTAGTAGGTCTATCAACGTCGGTGGGGAAAGGAGGTGGTTTTATATGTCCTGAAGCAGCTGTACCGTCTGGACCTAGAATTAGATATGTTTTAGTTTGGACCAATTTTTGTATTCATATTATAGTTTATTATAAAGGTTTTTTAAAGAAATACTTCATCGTATGTTGAGGAAAGTTATATTAAATCGTTTTTTTCTGTCTACATTCCAACAATGTATGTTGTCTGCATCACACTGTTGGTGAGTGGCGTCCATCATAACATTTTTCCTAACCAGATGTGTATAAATATCTTTACAATTTAAATAAAAAAAAAGGAATCGAACCTGCAAGGTTTAAAGTAGCTCGCAGACATAATATAAATATATCTTACAGTGCCATTTATTTGTTCTATCATAATAAATTACAAAATATTGGTAAATACGAAATACCTTTGAAAACATCATCACTGCTTTCGTCATTGGGTGTATAAGCAGGAGATCCGATACTACCTCCCGCATTAAATGCTGGATCATAGGGACTGGGCAGAGTCGGGAAGTACGACGGAATGAAAGGATCGTTGCTGTTCTTCACGATACGATATCCTATACCGGGACCAGCTATATAGTGAACCGTCCTAATAAAATTAAATAATGAATTAATGAAATATCAATGAAATTATACTTATTGATCAAATATAATGGGTTTCTTATCAGTTAATTAGTACCTTTGTACACCTTTATCATCTAAAAACGTGTACGACCCTCTGACGTTACCGTGTGAATCGCTGCTTTCTGTTCTACGTTGGTCAGGGCCCGCGGAAATAAATCTAAAAATCATAATTGTTATTAATGAGCACAGATTAAAAATTATAGCCAATTGTTTATTATATTATGTTTACGTCTCAGTTTGAAGGTTTTAACCAAAATAGGTCTAAAATTACTTGCTTATAAAATTAGGAGTTGGGCAACGGATGGGAAAGAAAATGTTTTATGATTGTAATTTAATTAAATGCAATCAATTCAAGTAATTATTAAATTTTATTTATTTTTTATTTATTTCCCTCCCATTCAGTATCCTAGAGAGCTACATAGTTGTAACTCAAAATCAGTGTAACCCATAATTTCTAACACAGCATCTTTATCTGAGTTACTACCTTTTGCTATAGTATAGATAATAATTTAGTAGAAAAAAAACCTTAGGCGAAAAATGTTATTATTATATCTTACATTACCTTTGTATAGAAGTACTTATATGTACATATATACTAGTACATATTATATTGATGTTCTATACAACCTATTCAGTTACTTATACCTGTAAGAACCATCGAGCCCCCTTTGAACTGCAGTCCTTCCCCTAGGTTTGCTCTCTCCCCTAACTAATGGTGCGTGGTGGAACGGTGATCCTATACCGTTAGGAGCATCTGGGTGAGCTGATGACACATGGAACCCAGTATCTCTGCCAGCAATATAGGACACGTCGTGTCGCTCGCCGATATCATCCACAAATGAGTAATGTCCTAATAACATTTAAAAAAATTAAATGAACCTATATAACAAAAGTTAAAAGTAAAGAAAAAAAGTAAAAGGTTTTATCAGCATATATTTATAAATAGATTTTATCATTATCAGTTGAACTTTGTGATCTTTAAAACACTAATGTTTATTGTTGTACACTAGCGACTTTTCCCTTTATTTGAGTGTGTTCGTAGGTATGTTTTTATTTTTTTAAGCGGAACCCTAAGTTACTCCTAACACCAGCTATTTGCCAGTGAAAGTCCCGTCAAATCAGTCCAGCTGTTTTGGAGATTAGCCGGAACAGACAGACAGACAAAAATTTAAAAATTATGTTTTTTTATTATAAGTACCGTATATAGTTTCATTTAGTAAAAAAACTTTTATTTTCGACTTCACAAACAGATATTTCAATTTTATTTATCTGTATACATTTGAACCTCGTTAGAAATATTGTTTTGTTAATCGATATGAACTGGTGATGACTTTACCTTTTACATCACCCCTACTGTCAGCATTTTCGTTTTTCGAATAAGTTCTTGTATCTTGTTTAAAAGAATAACTGGGGTCTTCACTGGGATCGAAGTACGGGTCGTCCTTATTACCAATGTTACCTCGAGGTCGTTGATCCAGATCAATCTTTCGATGAACATTTGGACCTTTCGCACGGAACCTAGAAAATTTTGTTAGAACAATTGTATCACATTCGTGTATATCTCCAAAATTAAATTAAGGCTGCTATGATATTAGCTGTTAGATAGAGATTAAAAAAAATCTTTCGAAAATTGTGCTGCTATGTCGAAAGTGCCGTGTGGAAAAATATCTATCGTCACTACTATTCGTCCTGAATATCACTATATGTTTTTAATATTCAGTGACCAATTATTTCAATAAGCTGAAGTTTTTATTTCAATTGCTATATGATATATTAATAGCTATTGTTTTCTTCGAACCACCTGCCACCTCGTATGGCTAATTTTATTTTCATTTAAAACATATGTACATAGGTACTATGAAGTTCTTTGGTAATTTTATATCTCATCCGGGATAAATAAGCCCATGTCACTTCTCACCATAAACTCCTTCTCAAAAAAATCTGATTCACGAGAGCTTATATAGTGTATTTAAAGTGTATGCCCACATACAAGTTCTTGGAGACTTTAAATGAGAGATCAGACACAGGATAATGGTTTCGCATGATATCCAGCCCACGGGGGCGTAACTCTTCAACTTCGAGCTGTTATTGAGAATTTCGTGAAAAAAACAAATAACTATACTTGGTCCGACCCGGGACTCGAACTTAGGAAATCTGATCTCCAAGCAAAATAAAGTAAAAAAGGGCTAACTAACAAATGCATTGACGATTATAATACCTATAAGATTGATAAAATGTAACTTACCCTCTAGGTCCAGCAGTGTATATAGTCTCCTTCACCTCATCCTTGCCGGGTTCCCTCGCGCCAAAGCGACCACCGACCACACCATTTGCGTTCCCATGCGCTAAGTGGTAACTTCCTCCTCGGTCTTTGTTTGCGTAGCTATTAAATATAAGGTTTATATTTCGTTAAAGTACCAAATTAAGATTTTATACATTAAAGATAAACATACCTATTGTTAGCATGATTATAATATTAAAGACTTACTGAGAATTCACAGATCGAACTATTGAAATATTATTTTATTTCTTTGTCCGTAGTTGTTTTAAATATACATATAGGCTATTTATTAAATAGTTATAAAGAAAATCACAATTACATATGTAAATATAGGTACATATATATATATGTGTGTTACAATATGTAATTTTTTTTACCGTCCCACTGCTAGGCACGAGCTTCCCTTCAAATATGAGAAGGATAAGGCCATAGTTCACCACGCTGGTCAAGTACGGGCTGGTGGACTTTACATGTCTTTCGAAAACTTGTTAAGTTCACTCAGACTTGCAGGTTTTCTCATGATGTTTTCCTTCGCCGTAAGACAAGTGGTAATCATGTAGAAAATGATTCGCACATGAGATATGCAGGACCCGGGATTTGAACCCGCTTCACTCGGTTTTCCAAGCAAGTGCGTTACCACTGGTCTACCATTGTCTACGTATCTATAAGTACCTACATATAAGTATTTTAAACAGTTTTTATCTATACATATAATAAAATTGTAACCAAGCCGAATCTGTACATTAAATATTTTTTAGAAAATCTATAGTTTTTAGATTTTTTGTGTCTGTCTCTCTGTCTGTTACCGCATCACGGAAAACCACTGGACGGAATTTGATGAAATTTGGTATGATGATAGCTGATACTTTTTACTGCGGGAAAATATCTCATCTCTGAGAAAACTATACTATACGTTAAAATGTAAGCGAGGGTGAGTCGCTAGTATCACATAAAATACATAGCTATTTTCTGTGTTAATACCCGACATCCTACAGCTTGCTTTGTTTTTATTTTTCAACATTGTACATGCTGTTTTTTCTAACATGTTTTTAGATTACAATGGAGATATTTGCTAATTACGATGTAATAAAACTGATAAGTATCTATAAAGGTGTGTTTAGTATTAATGCGCTGTGAAGGTACTACTTATGTTTAAGTATGAATGGTTTATACTTATTAGTATCCTATAATACCTATATGAGTAGTTTTTGTAATATTATAAATATTTAAAGAAAAAAATAATTTGCATTGACATTTTTGTAAATATATTTTTCACGGATAATCATTATAGTCAACTTAATGAAAGCTTAATAAACAAAAATGCAGCGAGATCTTTTAATAAACCACTAATCATATCACGGGTAAGAATTCTATTTTAGATTAATTTGAGAATGTAAATTTTAAGATAATTTGAAAAAAAAATTAAAATAAAATTTTTAATAAAAAAAAATTAAGTAATTTCCGAAGATTGTTCGACGCTGTAGTCCGGAAGACTGAAACCCACAATCAAAGTGATTCCAATTTTAAATGAAAAGAACGAAATTTTACAATTACATATATGATGTTTTCCTGACCGATTCCGGCCACGGCGGCCAATCTCATTGAGACTAGCCAACTGCGCAGGAGATATTATAGTGCACAAGTGTACGCGCAGACACAAGTGTATTCTATTCCTGTCACTCTCATACTCTGGTGGGACGACCATTCAACACGACCAGCGAGAGTTACGGAGCAGGACTGACGGCTTTACGTGCTCTCCGAGGCACGAATATAATTACATATACATATATTAACACTATTAATACTCAAAAATAGAGTATCAAATGTATTTTTGGCTTCTTGAATCGGTAGGGGAGGAAACATTTTTTTTTCATTTTACTTAATAGTTTAAAAAAATAATTGCTTTTTAAGTCTGTTAAATTTAAACCTGATAACAGAACCGACACATGGTAAGACAGTCATACATTCATTTGACAAAAAAATCACCTCTTCCATTTCGAAACATTAAAAATCCTTTTAAGGATCTTTATCTGTTGAATAGTATCAGTGGGTTCCGGTTTTCGGAACTCCAGCCGAGTCTGAAAATATATTACTTTTCCTAAAGCTTCCTATTCACATACAATGGTAGCTATCCAATGTAGTTTTAAACTTATTACCGAGTTATTGTATAATTTCAGAAACTACACGTAAGTGAAAAAATATAGATATAATTACCCAAAATCAAAAGATCCATCGGTATTAACGTTGTTATAATCACCATCAGCGGCTCTAGACTTGCCCGGTATAAGTTGAGTCCTTACTAGAGCGCACACACACAAAATACAAACACCATATATCCACGACATGCTGACACGTTATCATCACCTCACTGAACTAGCACTTGGGAGACTATGCAGATAAAAACATACTCGCCTTATATATGAACGCTTAAAATGAGCGTTTGAAGCGGTTACCCCGCGCGAAAATGACCGGACATCATTGTTATTAATGATAGGTATGTTGTCCAATTCAATACGATTTATAGCTTAGCTATTTTTTTAAAAAAAGTTTTAATTTGATCATCGTTACAGAATAGTTGTAAACCCCTTTAGTTTATAATCAATCTAATGAAATTTGTAATTAATTATATAAATCGATAGATTGTAAGCGGTCCCTAAAAGTTGAAATCTTTTTTAACGTTAACAAATCCATTTACATATACCACCTGCATACATACAGGTTATGTGGGACGCAGTGCCTAGAAAAACGAGTAAAACTCAACTGCCATCCCCGTATTTATGGGGTGTAGGATCACTTACGCATTCAACCGCGACAACCAAGGGGTTGCTTCCACTGTCCACTCTGCTATCAGGGAAGTATCAGGAGCAACCGGCGTGGTACACCACCTACCGAGGTGGGCCACCTCCCTGGTGTGCTTCTTGGCTTCGCACCCCGTTAGATTACTGAACGCTTATGAGCCCGCTAGATATAAGCTATGGACAGATAGGTTGGTTATGTTTTAACGTTTTACTAAGTTTACAGCAAAAAAAAACAAATGTCATGTACCTAAACACTGCAATTCGTTAGTGAAATTTTTTTTACTAAGATTTATAAATAAAGCTTAGTTGAATACTGGAATTAAGTTATATAGCATAGCATATCATTTGATGGACGCATGCGCGTTTACGAAGATGCAGCCGCACTAGACGAGGGCCATCACATCCTCCTCCGTGTACGACGTACCAGGAACAACTCTTGCGAACTTATAAATATGTAAACTTTAATATATTTTTCTAAAATTAGTGTTTAATTGTTAATTTTTACTTTTTAACTTTAAGTCAACAAGGTTCTAGGCATAGTATATAATTTACATATTTAAATAATATCAAATATGGTTTGGTAAAAAAATCTTTTTTTTAATTAGTATTTATTTTCATATAAAAGAATTAAACGCGTTTCTATTACTGCGTCATGAGCATTAGAGAAAAACAATGTTTCATAGATAATTTAAAGTTTATAGTAGCTATGCAATTTTCTTTTGTTATTTGTACACTTTGCTAAAAAATATTCATTTAACGAAAAATAAAACTCATGATTTCTCATTTCTTTTCCCCTAAAACTTGGTTCATTTTACAATATGTTATATAGAAATTAATTTTGAATTATCTTTATAATTCTTCAATATAGTTTGATTAGCCGAATTAAATAATAAATAATTTATTGACGTCACAGCAATCGTACTTGCTATCGAGTTCACTAATATCCGTGTCCGTCGTTTGTTCCACTTCCTTGTACCTTGGGGATGTTTCACAACGCTGCAATAAATGTCTAATTGTGATGAGATCTGCTACAATGTGTTTCCATTGTATGCATACATAATGTTAAAAATATTTTCTAACTAAGCAATAATAGTAAAAACACTTTTAAATTTTATACCAATTAAAAATATATGGAAGTAAATGTCCTCCAGTAAATTGGCATTAGATAGTTCGGGAATATTTCCGAATTCGAATCTCTACTGATTAAATGACGTCATTTATAATATAAGATATATGCAAAGATATAACATTAAAATGTACCATTAGAGTCACCAAACAAATTGCAACCAAATTGTCATAATTTACCAGTAACAAAAATGGAGTTTGAATCGACGTATTGAATATATAAATAGTAACTATATGTTATTATTTATCGCTGTTGACTGTACATTTTATACAATTTAAATGTGATGATTGATAGATAAATTTAGGCTATAATTAATCGCAGAAGTTGTAAGATTTCGTATATATTTATATGGTGTCAATCAAAAATCATCTTATGAATGTAAAATAATATTTATTTTCCATGAAATTTTTCTAATCAGAAAATGCAAAAGTTTGTATGTGTGTATGTTTGTTGCTCCTTCATGCTGAAACAGCTGGACAGATTTGAATGGTAGTACATAGACTACCTGAAGGAACACATAGGATACTTAATTCTTGCTTAGATTTACGCGAATATTTGACATTTTAAATACAACAAATAAAATCTTTTCGGATTTTCGGATTTATTTTGATTTTTGTTTCCCGACGTTTCGAATGCTGTACAGCGATCGTGGTCACGGGAGAAACTCTCTCGTCAGTATCCGAAAAGACAGTTTTACTTAGATCGGGCACCTGTCGCGAGGGTCAGTCGCCTAGTTATTTAGATGAAAAAATAGATAAAATAAAAATATTGAAACAGTTAAAATGATTACAATGGAAACTAAGTCTCTGATGTCCGTTCCGGTGCGATCATCGCAGATTAAACCGCCGAATTGTACTCACTCGGATGTAACACCTCTCAAACTTGACCCCTGAGGCCGAGCTAACTTAAATCATTTTCATCTATTTAGAGCTCAAGTTATGTTGGCTCATTTGCATATGTCCTTCCATCTGACCATTGTGTTGTAACGATATATTAGCTGCTAGAAGATATGCCGATACGCCTTTCAAAGACAATCGTACTTCAGAGGAGGCACTGTACTTGGTATATTGCTTATTTTATTATTATATAGGAAGCTATTGTGTTTGTTATATTAAAAATATGTATATTTAAACTAACTTTTAGGAATCATTTTGAAGTTATACTTATTTTGGGATGTATGGAAAAAATTATGAGAGTAATATTTTTACGATGCGCGCACAGACCGACAGCCAAAAACCGACATGATAAAGTTAGCTGAAAGCGACATGATGAAGTTAGCTGCATTCCTTTTACAAACAGAGAGTTGTGACATACGGGATGAAATGTTTAGCTATTTTTGTTCTGTTACGCCAAAGAAGTATAACTTCTCACGTGCGTACATAAGTTTTTTTTGTTCAATTAAATTCAATTTAAAATTGATTTAACATCGATGAACATAGATCATATCAATAGACACAGTTGTTAGTTTCCAAACCTTTTCAGCTTATAATTTTTACATAGTTTATGTGTAATGTGTATCCTTGCTACTTCTTTCACGTTGTAGCGGCTGGACAAAGGATGAATTTTAGTATACAGATCGCCTATACTCTTTATATGTGTCTCTATATATTTGTATTCCAGTCATGGGTGTTTATATTTATAATATGAATATATATTTAAAGTGTATATACGTGTAGAGTATAAACTATCTAGATGGAAACTAGATGGTGCGTTAATGCCCCAAAATATTTATATTTATTTATTTATAATATAACATGGAGTAACACATAAGCAACTGTCCGAGACTTAGATCGCTAGTTTTATTATAAAACAAACCATTAAATGATTACAATATAAATATAATCATCCCATGTTGTGTAACCTATTATCAACATAAAACATTGGCAATGGGTTAACTTAATCTCGAATAAATCTCAAATCCTATCGTTTTGTTAATATGGATGTGGAAATATTTGAGTACATGTAACTTATTAGTAAGTCATGTAGGGAGGAGGGCGGAGGTCGGAGGGCTCACAATGGAGCGGCGAAGGTCATCAGATCTTCACGGTGGTTGGTCTTGCTGACGGTTATTGAACAGTTTTTGTACTTGTACGTGTTAAGATATACTGCTTTTAATTGCCTATCGATGTACTTGCATTAATTACAGGTTCTTAGATAATAATACTTGTGAGTAAACAATTGTATAATATTAAAATATGAAATCGTAACTTGGTATGGTATAGTTACAGACCACAGACAATTTAGCAAATTTTACAAACATATTTTAGCAATACCAAATTTTATCGAAATCCCTCCAGTGGTTTTTTCGTGATCCGGTCACAGACAGACAGACAGACAGGCAGATAGACAAAAATTCTAAAAACTATAGATTCGGCCTCTATATCGATAATAATGTCTATTTCGATAAGATTTTCCAAAAAAAAATTAATTACAGATTTGGCTTAGTTACAATTTCATTATATGTATAGACTAAACAAAAACAAACCTATCCCACGGAAACCGTACATTTTCCAGGATAAAAAGTAGCCTATGTATTATTCCAGAATATAATCTATCTCTGACACTGACACTCACAAACTTTCACATTTATTATAGTAGTAAGATATTCAGTATAAGTAACGCGCTCGGAAATACAACTGAAATTCGCTTATGAAATTTTATATGTAAATAATTTTGTAAAATATTTATTTTAAATATAGACAATCATTTTCAAGTTGCCACTAAGCCTTATGGTGAAGAAAAAAAAATATCATGAAAAAAATAAGAGAACCTAAAAAACAGCCACCCGTACACTTGTGTGGTGGACTATGGCCTGATTTCTCTCACATTGAAGAGAAAATCATGTTTACTCGTATTTTTAAAAGGTTAGAATTATTATAATTATGAGGATTATTATTACTATAAGTGCATTTAAATATATTATAAACATACATACAGAGGAACATAGAACCTCCTCCTTTTTGGAAGTCGGTTAATAATATATATATATGAATTAACTACGAACACGTCGTTCTACTTCTACATCAAAGAACATATACAAGCATTCTAAGAACAATAAAATATTATCTGTTAACCGAATCATATGCTATGAGAACTTCACAACAAAAGTTTGTAAAAAATTGATTTAAAAATCCCGGATTTACTACCAAAGTGTCTTGTTAGGAAAAACCTGAGTAATTAATTGCAAGTCCATCTATCTTATCTACATTACAATTGAATTTAGTAGGTATATTCAAACGAATTGGGAGGTCGTGGGATCGACGGACAGACATAATTGTTGATAGCGATCGTCAATTTTGTTCGCGCTTTGTATTATGTTGTGCTTTATGAGGAAGCGGGCTGATTATGAAAATTTTATTCCACCGCGAAATAATACAGCTTTGTTGTTTGGTTATTAATAATTAATTAAATGCTTCTGATATCGTTTTATAGTCTCGTTAGAATTTCTGTTGTCTAATTAATTTGTTTGTCGATTGTAGGAACTATAAATTAAGTAATTTTTCGCGCATTATTATAGCAATACAATTTTTAATACTCAAACTTTTAACACCTCCAGGTAAATTTCTAAGAAATTAATTAAAATTCTAAGAAATCTATTGTTAACTGACACGCCGGCGTGTCCGCGGTCGTGGGGGGATTAATAATAATTGATAAAGGATATAAGCTTCATTATTTCCCATATTCTATGTATAGTAGCTTTCTAGTGGAGTATTAAAACAGATATTTAAATTAATTTGATTAATTAAAAATGATGTACTTATATAAAGGCCCTGCTGAATAAAACTTCACAGTAAAGTTAGATAACTAGTAGCTCTGAACACCGACCTTGCATGTTTTATATTTCCTGTTTTTTTAAACAAATTGTCATTTTCTTCCTCTTCTTATTTTTCATAGATACATAAATATTATTTTTCTGCCAGAAATAAACCAGCGATTTTACCTACACGTTCGCCTCGCCTATATTTATTTTGTATGTATAATATTATATACAGTCAGCGCCACCTTTTAGCAAATTTCATCACTAGAATTAGCTACTATGTGTTAATTAAGGTCATAATTTGTATATGTAATAAATTTTATTTAAATCCAATCCAAAGAGATAACAAACATACTTACATACCTTACTTATTAAGTTTCGCATCTTAAACGTATCAAAGGTTCGTTAACTAAGAACTTCAAATTAGAACAGAAATAATAATCATGCCCTAGAATTAATACCTAACTTTAAATCAGTTTAAGTGAAAATAGTACACAAGAGCAAAATTATGAAAACTCTAAGTTAATTTAATACCATTTCTCGGCTTTCATTTTTACTCTATAGATTACTAAACAACTTTGTAAAGAAACTAATATTCAACGGATGTACCGTTTTAAAAAATAAAAGCCTTATATCATTCGTTGTCACCTTATCTGTGCAGACAATTACGTTTAATATATTATTTCGTCGCTGATTTGTACAGAGACACACCAACAAACACTTTTTCATTTTTTATATTAGTATGGATTTCGTATATCATATTTTTAATAATCGAATTATTTTACGTGAACATATAAAGTTGCGCCTGCTATATTTATGAGAGCAATTTGTTTTGTAGACTTTTAGAACGTATCTTTTATAACCTTTATACTCGTATTTCCTTTATATTATATCTTAATGCAGAAATAACTTGAAAAAGTAGTAAGTTAAACAAGTTATAATAATTTATAGTAGGTTAGGTATTAGCAATGTAGCGAAAACCCCGAATTAAAGCTGATGTCTATTAATCTATACTCATATTATAAAGAGGTAAAGTTTATGAGTTTGTGAGCTTGTAGGGGGTAATCTCTGGATCTACTGAGCCGATTTAGATGAAATTATGTAAAAAGATAGTTTGAGACTTTAGAATGGACATAGGTGAGTCAGTCAAAGTCAGCTAGGTCCACAATGGAAGGAGGGGGACGGGCTCGGCTGTTGTGAGGTGTCCAATCGCAGCAGCCAAGCGTGTGGTCGACGCACGCCGGCTTTTGGTTGGGTGGTCGTCGGCCACTGTCGTGTTCCTGGAGCAACGGCCCTTGCGCTGCTACAGGTGTATGGGGATTGGTCATACCGTCCCCATGTGCCCATTGAGCGTGGAGACGGGTGCCTCTTTTCATCACAGAAATCATCCTTTAAGGGGGTAAAAATGGGAATGAAAGTTTGTATTCGGAAGCAAGCTAGGGACGAACCCGAGCGAAGCGAGGGTGAGTCGTTAGTGTTATATATAAGTTCTTACGGACCGGACATAGATTAAGAAGAAGTGTGGCCCCGGGGAAGGTAAGTAATAAAGACCTTTAAAAGTATTGCAAAGAAAGTAAATTATTTTTTTGGCTCTTCTTTTGTTTGCCAAATTTACGGAACCACAAAACTAGATATCGTTATTTCTTTTACGGGACGTCTCGGAGCTACAGCCTTCTCTTAATTCTACTCTACTTACGACTTAGTAAGTACGTCGATAAAAAATAAGCAATATGATAATCTGGAAAGCATGTTTAAGCTACCTCTGTTCCAAACACTCAAATCTCTTAAGACGTTATAATGCAAGGAAGTATAAACACAGAATTCGGCATTTATAATATTTTTTGAATTTAATTCTCACAGCAACATAGTAAGAAAGAGTCAGTTTACGGGTCGGAGAGTGACAGTGGAGATGTATGTCATTAGTTGGTTGTAATTTGTTGTAAAATAATATAATAATTGCTTGTTCTTTTTTGAATTTTAATTTAGATTTGGAAATTTTAAAGTATACTTTTGTTGACAGTATCTAAGTAAAGATATCTAACTAAATGTATTAGTTAATATTACAATCGTAATAATATTTAATGTAATGAAAAAAAAAACTGTATGTATATATACATTTATTAAAGCTTAAAACTAAATTAATCTATCAGTTCGTTATAAAGCTTTTATCACCTAGCATGTAAAGTGTATATAAAACTACATAAACTATGTATTTTGATCGGTAACTATATTATATGAATTGGATATTCAGCAAATATAGATATATAATAGACTAAAATAGATATTTTTTTACAGGTTTTTTCTATTTATCAAAGATATTTTTAAATTTGAAGTATCTATATATAAATTTCGTTATTTTCGAGTACAATAAATTTTTTGTAAAGTCTTACAAATAATTATAATTAATAGTTAATGAGCATCACATTTTAGTATTTTATTTAGTAACATCTATATACAAACTTAATCTAATTAAATTTAAACATGTATTTAGAAATATGAAAAATAGAATAATGAACAATATAGTAGGGGAGCCCAAGAGGGGGTTTTGGGGTTTACTCAAGCGCGGCACATTAACATAAGAGGGGATACCTTGCACTCTGTTAAGTACCTCCACCATATATAAGTCCTATGTATCTGGTCACGCTTCTAGGCCAGCCGATTAAAATAATATTAAATTTTTGATAAGTTAGAAATACTACCGTCAGATTAAGGTGTAGTGGGCTAATTACATACTGAAAAGTGTGCCATTCAATAATCTGCCGATTTCCACAAGCCGAAGAGGCAAAAATCGTCCATAAATTTTATAGACATTTTTTTAAATATTTTGATCGGCTGCCCTAGAAGCGCGAGTACTTAATATGGTAGAGGTACTTAACAGAGTGCAAGCTATCCCTCTTGTGTTAATCTGCCGCGCTTGAGTAAATCGAAAAATCCCCTCTGAGGCTCCCCTACTAATATTTTTTTTAATAATATTTAACATGTATGTAATAAGTTTGCCGAGAATAATAACATTATAACTATATTAATATTTTTCATATTTCCAATAGTGTTGCGAATCGTTCGTAATATAATCCTACATAATATGGTAACTACTAATTATTATTTATTAACACGTGAACATATACTGCAAAATTTATTCATAATTATACATCACTAGTATATAATATACATAGATTAACATATAAGTTTATATATGCATAGCAAACAGTAGCTTATAAAATAAACACGTTTATGTAAGAGAAAAACATTCAAAATAAGATAAAATACAACAAAATAAGCTAACACTTAAATATACTTTAAATGTTATTTTATAAATTTACTTTATAATAATAAAAAAGGAATAAGAATTAGGAAAATCAAATATGCTTTTGGGAAAAAATAAAATTAATAGTTATTATATATGAATTTTTTAAAAGAAGAGGAAAAATGAAAAGTAGACATTTTTATTTTACAAAAAAATATACCATCATAGAAAGATGATATTCAATATAAATTAAAATTGAAAAAATATTTATAATTATATTAAAACATAAAAAAATATATTATATTATAGTCCCGCGTTCCCGCAATACTCGCCGATGCGGTCGGAGATACACTCGAATATGTCGAACGATATGTCACAGTTGCGACCGTTGTCTGTGAATTATTATAAAAAAATTACCTATATTGTGTTTTGTACTATCCCAGTAACGCTTTAATAAATAAATATTTATTGTATTACGAAAAAATAACATCCCTATACTAAAAAGGTATAAAAAACGTTTTGAGATTTAAACAGATAGATATTTTTGCGGAACATTAAAATTTAAACCACGGCTACAATTTAATAGTTTAATTTAATTTTTATTAGAAAATTTAACCAAATATGAGAAAGGGAGAATCTCTAATCTATATACTTTTATCCATATTAAATTTTGTTTTCATAACTTTTCAGTAATAATATGAGACACTCACCCATAGGTATAGTGCGGGAGAATTTATCATGGTTCCTCATAAGACATTCTCTGGAAGCTTCTAGAACTGCCATGAAGTATCCCCTCTCGTTCACTCCGTCAGAGTAAAGTCCTACGAGACCTTCTAATGTGGGGAACCCATATCCGTCCACCTTGAAAAATATAGGTTTATCATTTTAATGCTATTAAAATATAAAAGTATACTCAGGCTATGTGACAACATTTGTTAAAAACAATCAACATATTCAAAAGCTTATTTATATGAAAAAAAATTTTATTGAATGTATGAAATAGATTTAGTAATGAATTAAAATTATTTTAATAAAAAAATGGAAATACATATATACAAAATTTTTTTATGTTATATTCGATCGAAAAATGTTGAGATCGTTACATTTGGCACTATACGCTTTGGCTACCAGACATATAGCTTGAAAATGAAATAGATGTATAAAGGTGACTAATATCAAAATATTTTTTTTGCAGTAAATAATTAAATTGTTCTCTATCTATACTTATTTGATCGACATAGTTTTATCACTTCCTCTTTAAAATTCGTAGCGTAATAGCTACGAATACATATATACAAATAAATAAATTTGAAGTGTCTGTTTCTAAAGTCAAAATAATAGCTATTTACTAAACGCATATGAATATTGTACTCAGAAGAAAAAAACAATTTTAAAATGTTTGTCTTCTTTTTCATTGCGGCTAACCTCTGAAACGGCTGGACCGATTTTGACGGGACTTTCACTGGAAGATAGCATAGCTAAAAGGAGTAACATAGGCAACTTTTATTGCAGAAAGAGAATTAAGGTTCGCGCAAAAAAGCCATGACATTATGAACAACCCGAGCGAAGCAACGGGTAAGTCGCTAGTTTCTCAATAAACATGCTTTGCATTATAAAAATAATTTTTCAATTATGATTGTCAGTTCCAGGGATTACCGTGTTCAAAAAAATCTCACCAGCTTTACTATACTACTATAACTGAAGCTTTTATTTCTTTGCTCAATAACAGATTATAAATATTATAAATCAAATTTAATTCTATATTGTAATGTTATGGTCAAATAAATGTTTTATTAAAATTGAAAGAGAGTAGCCTCATCAATATTATTTCTTGATTTTTACGAGCTACGTTGGTTTATACGTTATTGTTTATAGTTCGAACCGATCGGAATATATTCAATGAATTTATGCTCATGTAAAATAAATAAGAAATCTTATTGTATTTTTATTAGAGAACAATTTTAGAGCTATTGAATTACGAATTGACTGTGCAATATAGAGTCTAGTTAATTGTTTAAGTATTTGTTATTTTTCGAATATGTAAGTACTGATTAAAAGTATTTAAAAAAAAGTATTTTAAATTATTAAATAAAACTATCTTTTCGGATTATTTCGCGGATTTATTTTGATTTTTGGTTCCCGACGTTTCGAATGCTTTACAGCATCCATGGTCACGGGAGAGTCTGTAACAACAGCCTACCCACAATTAACAAAACTATACATTCAAGACATGTAATACCTCAGTCTCTCCCGTGACCATGGATGCTGTAAAGCATTCGAAACGTCGGGAACCAAAAATCAAAATAAATCCGCGACATAATCCGAAAAGATAGTTTTATTTAATAATGTCAAACATTCGCGTAAATCTAAGTAAGTATTAAGTATTTTAAAGTTTAACTTTTATTTTCCATTAAAAAATAAAAAAATGTTCATAATTAAAAATATAATACTCATAAAACCCTACTGCTGTAATTTATGGTAACCTATTTATTACATATTATTATTCGCAAACATATTATAATATACTTGATTGATATAATTTAAGAAATGAATTCTGTACGTCTCAATAATAGTCATAGTTCTATCGTAAAAAATATTCATACATAAAAAGGTTAAATTAAATGGCTAAGTGTGAGTCGAATAGCGAATTAACCGTTTTTTAATGTTCCATTTTTAATACATAGCATAAATATGTATATTGCGTAAAAATATATATCTTGGTACGGAAGACTTTGTGCACATTTTCAACTCGTACTTGGCAATTTATGAAAAACAAACAGGCACTTAGCTATAGGGAGAAATTAGACTCTGTTTTTTTTGTTAACTCTTTTCATTATTTCCGTCTATTCTTATTCCTATTCTAGCGACTTACCCTCATTTCTCTCGGGTGCGTCCCTGGGTAGGTTTTATTCTTTTTGAGCGAAACCCTAATTCGTTTTCTAAAATAAAAGTAGCCTAAGTTACTCCTTATAACATCAGCTATCTACCAGTGAAAGTCTCGTCAAAATCAGTCTAGCCGTTTTGGAAATTAGGGAGAAAAATCTCACGTAATTAATGGATGCCCCCTTAGCCGAAACAAACAGACAGAAAATTAAAAAACCTACCCAAGGCATAGAATTAGATTCGATAGGTTTCTAATTTAAGTGTACATAAAGAAAATTTTGAAGTCAGCGATTATTTTTATATAAAATAAATCATTTTACATTATACCTATATTATATTTATAAATAGATAGAAATACAAATAAATCTTTCATATATAGTCAAATTGAACATACTGTACATAGCTACTTGCTAAATGGTGAACGAGAAAACCTTGGCCTTCAGCAAAACTAATAACAGACTGCACCGAAGTTTATGACAGTTGAAAATTATGACACATTCGCAAAGCGAATTTCAAGGGTAATAAATAGGCGATTTTTTTTCAATTTTACGACTCCACCGGGTTTATAGTGAACAAATTGGAGCAATCTCGCGACAAGACCATAAAAACTGAAGTCCGACTTTTAAATTATTTAGTATTATTTATTTGTAAAATAACATTGACAGTCTCACTTCTTATTAAAAGTGGTTGGAATGTTGAATGTTATAGCTAGCAGGTATTTTTTAGCTCTATAAAGTATGTAATTATATCTAGCCTTTAGAAACACGTAACTTATAGTTAGGTGAAAGATGCACAAATATACACTGTCTATTTGAAGAGATTAATAAAATCCTCCATATTATAGCCAAGAAAGAAGAAATAAGAAGAAACAAAGGAGAAGTAAAGAAGATAGAGAAAATTAAAAAAAAAACAGAAAGATTGGAAAATGTACAAAAGGCGACTTTATCGCTGAAAGAGCGATCTCTTCCAGTTCCTCATAAGTGATTTAAGACCTGCCAATTTCCATCCAATATAAAATAATCTATTGATTTAATGGTGTTGGAGATTTGATAATCATTCGATCGATTTGGAGAAATAGCGTTGGGAAATAGTGTTTTGTTTTGAAATTACATTAATGGCTGAAATAAGTTTGGGCATTACAGTTCATAAAACAGTGTGTATGTTTCTCACTGAAAACTGGAAATCGAGCGAGATGAAAAGTATTTTTCTTTGCATTATTGTAGATATTATTATCACGGCACATTTTTGGGTATTAAGTCAATAAGCAGATTTCTAAAACTAGAATTTTGAATTTATAAAATCGATTAAGATTAAGGTCTGAATACAAATTAACATTTATTTCTTTAGAATAGTATAAGATTAGGTATATAACTAACTATTGACATACCCTCACTTCATTCGTTAGGTACGTTTTAATTTCTTTGAGCGGAACGTTAATACTTTTTCTAAAATAAAAGTAGCCTAAGTTACTCCGTATGATATCAGCTATCCATCAGTGAAACTCCCGTCAAAATCAGTCCAGCTGTTCTGGAGTTCAGCCAGAACAAACAGACAGAGTGACCGACAAACAGACAAAATTAAAAAAAAGTGTTTTTCTCGAAAGTATATAATATCATACGCATTTAGTAAAAAGCTGTTATTTTGTTACAAACAGACACTTCAATTACACTTCCATTAGTCTTTTTTTAAATAAATAATTTTACATATAAAATCAATAACCTTTACGTAAATATCTTCGACTATAGTTTCCATGATTGCTGATAACATGTTTATCATTAGTTAACTAAGAAACACCGTTCCTCCATTGTTTCACTGATTGAAACACAAAGAACAAAGACAATAAGAAAGCAAACGAACGAAAAAAAAAGAAAAATATTGACACAGATTTACAATTTCACTAAAACTAGAGTAAACAAGATATTTATCAGGTGAAAATGATTTACTTTTACTTTAGATACTCACCGCTTTCACTTTCCGGTATACGCATTGGAGTAGGCACTGGAAAATAGAGAAAATATATGTTATTCGTTGTTTGTATGCGAATGCACTTTTTCGCTCGAATTGTGCGTGAAATGACTTATCATGTGCTTAACATGGTTACAACCATAAATGTAATGCAATTTAGGAAATCATCAAATCACAATATTATATTTACTTCTGTATTGTTTACAAATATATGTGCACTAGTGGGTCACCCTCGCTTCGCTCGGGTACGCCACTAGGAATATAAACATAAACCTATCACACGGGAACCGTATATTTTTCCGGAATAAAAAGTAGCCTATGTGCTATCTATCTATCTCTTTGCCAAATTTCATCCAGATCCGTTCAGCCGTTCTGGCGTGAAAAAGTAACAAACATCCATACTCACAAACTTACACGTTTATAATATTTATTTATATACAGATTTACGTTGTCGTCCATTTGTTAAGAAATTAAAAACGCAATTCGATTTCCTTATTCAAATACATACATAGCAAATATATGAATGCATACCCTACAGACTGAAGATATTAGATCTGATGGCAACGTTTTACCAGAAAATTGATGCTAGGTTTAATTCAGGCAACCTAGAATCCAACTGTTGACTAGCATTTTGATAAGTAAAAAAAGTTAACTTAACTTTCTGGGTGTCTACTTTCGTTTTTGATAGCATTATCAATTTTTAGCAATTACATACATATATTCTATTAAATATCCTATTAAAATATCATGAGTTTGACAGTGTAAGCTTCCAAAAAAAAATTTTCTTGACAAATTGGAAAACTGGTCATACAAAAAGTATCAAAAATATTTATTTACACATCTACTAGATTAATATATAACAATAAACTTAGCTAAAGTTATATTTAAAAGTCAGTCTAATAGCTAGCATATTTACGCTCTAGACAGAACTAATTCAAGCAACACAACAAATCAAACGAAACAAACAGGTACTATATTTTAAAGATCTCTCGAGCTAACACCTACTATCAACTATAAAAGCAGCCATAAAACCGAGTTACATCTTGTACTTAATAAAAGTTTCAATAATCCTATTTATGCTAAATCTTTCAAGGTATTACAGCCAGTTAACGTCTCCTCTATATAAAAGATGCGTACTAACGAGAGAGACCATCTTCATCGTCATAGAATTTTATTGGAGCTATAAGAAATGATTTGGGGCAAGACGATGTGAATGCTTTGTTATTTTTAGTCTGGACGCTTTTAGTTCTATCAAATGTCAAAATTATTTAAATTTAAAGTACATTTGTGAAAATTTCCGGTCTTGCTAACTTTTTAATATAAAAGATAACTTTTGCAACAGACATGTTTCGATAATATTTTTATTGTTAATTAAATAAAAGTTGTAAATTTTCATAACAAGCCATGATTTGTAATTAACCTACTAAAAATTAAATTAAAAATGTAAAGCAGTTTAAAATTATCTCGATCTGTTGTCTTAAATGTAAAAATAAAGGCCAAATTAATTATAGACGTAGACTTATATATACATATTATACATACACAAATATGTAACATATGACATATAAAAGCTTGTTGCCATTTTATTTTACTTTTAAATGTAATAAGAGAAATAAAAACAAATTATACTTGCAATTGTGCCATAAACATTGCGAAGACAACTGGACTGTTTTATTTAATAAAATTCATCTCATTAGATATAAACATAGTCTATAAAATATTTGGTACCTATTTTATTGCACATAAATCTGTCGAAAGGAAAACTTTTTGACTGATTTTTTCATATAATTATTATAAATCATTATTATTTTATTTAGATAAAGAGCCTTGTGAAGTACCATATGGGAAATATAAAAGTTTTTTTTTTGTTGTCTGACTGACAAATGCACTTTTTTACATAGTTATTGTATATGGAAAGACGAGTGTCACGCAGTAAAATACTATTTTAAAGTGAATTCCTATAATAATATATTTTTAAAAATAAATTTTAAACTTACACCAGCTATCCGTTTTTCGTCATGTGTGAATGGAACTTCTCTTTTGTTTCTTCGCCTTTGTGCTGGCATCGTGTGCTCCTCCTTTATGACATCTAATGCTTCTGAAAATTTAAAAAAGAAATATTACTTTTACATTATTGGTATAGTGCCTAGCATGTATCACTACAGATCCAGAGGTCCTGGGTTCGAGTCCCAGGTTAGCCCAAGTGTAGTATTTGAATTTTTATATCTAATAAATTCTCAGTAACAGTGCGGAGTTAAAAGAGAGAAAATTGGCGGTGTTTCATCCCCGTGCATCATGCCTTGGTCCTACGCCTGATGTCTACGGAAGTATCGGATTGTCGTCCTATCGGAGTTTGAGAGTGCAAGAAATATACAGAACACTTATGTTAGCGCATACACTTGTGCATTATATTAAGCACTGCGCACATGACTAGACAGATTGGTTTACTATGCGGTATTACTGTTAGGTAAATGTGTTGATAATATAAAATAATATTGATCTTAAAACAAAAACATATCGACGGCGAAGTGCCAATATCTCCTAACTAACATTTCTCGAGAAATTCACTTTTTTATCGTTTTGAATATTCAGGTAAATTTCTAAGAAATTAATTATATTTCTAAGAAATCTATTGTTAATTGTAACGCCGGCGTGTCCGCGGTCGCGGAGGAATTAAAGGCGCTATTCACATGTTTTATTCAAATATATTAACATTACATAATTATGAAAGCATATGTCATTATTATCCTCAATAAATGAATATATATATATATATATATATATATATATATATATATATATATATATATATATATATAATGTATTTTAACTTTTAAGACGTTATTATACGAGTATAGATTCATTCTGACTTAGTCATGCCTATCCTATTTTTTTCTCAAGTGATAAAATAATAACGTGTTTTTAATTTGTTTCAGATTATGCTTAATAACTAAAATAAAATGTACATGAAAATAAATCGTTTTTTAATTACGATTTCTAAGATCGAGAATATCATACACAACAGCTGGCACATAACGAAGATGACAGTGAAATAAAAAGTTATTATTATATAGTTACCTACCTAGCAAAACCCGCGGCTTCACTCGCGCTAAAACTTTAAAATACTCGTAAAAAGGTACATAGGTTCATACAAACTTTCATCCCCTTTTTCCCCTTACGAGACGAATTTCGAAAAATGCTTAAACACGTATTTATTTTATTGTATTGAAGAGCATTAATACCAAGTTTCATGTAATTCTGATCATAAATATTTTTTGGGTTGCATTATGATGTGTTTTCCCATGGGGATGAGATAATCTTCGACTGTAAAAAGTAGCCTATGTCACTCTCCACCCCTCCAACCATCTCCCCACTTTCATATTTATAATATTAGTATAGATTATATATAACATATGGTTATTAGTATATATAAAACATGCAAATACGTATACGTATATGTACACTATATGTGTATGTACGTCAGTTCATTATCAATACATACAAAATAATAAAGAAATATTTGGGCGGGGGGTCAAACCCGCAACGTTTGACGTAAGAGCAACACTCTGATCATAGCTCTAGATAGCCCTTATTCACCTATTAACAATTACATCGCAGGCATCGAGCTAATTAAAAAAATTGATCATTTTCGATAAACCCAAAAAGAAAAAGTGAAAAGGAAGTAAACACATTTCGCATCAAATTAGCACAGATTATTTAATATTCACGAAGCAAGTAGTCAGGAAGCTAGAATCCATATTCATATTTCCATATTTAATATTATTAATGTAAAAGTGTCTTTGTTTGTTTGTTTGTTTATTTGTCCCCCTTTCGCGTCGAAACAGAGTGGTGATTCTTTGTGTGGAGATAGTTGGAGGGTTGAAGTGACATAGGCTACATTTTGCCGCTACATTTACACGACCCAAAAATTATTTATGATCAGAATAACTTGAAACTTGGTATTAATACTCTTCAATGCAATTAAATAAATACGTATTTTAGCATTTTCGAAATTCATCCCATAAGGGGGTAAAATAGGGGATGAAAGTTTGTATGAAACCTACCTTTTTAGAGCTATTTTGTTGTAATTTTAGCGCAAGCGAAGCTGCGGGTTCTGCTATTTATTAATAAATCACATAATATGTGCTAATAATGAAAAAAACTGCGCTTGCGTATACAAGCCTATTAAAACTATACACCTTCGTGCAAACCGCAATAGGTAACGGCTGAACGAGCGCATGTCCCTTATGCAAGGAGTATGTTATGTAAAACTATATGGGTCGTCGCGATTGCACATAGCTTAGTTACTAATATGTAGTGCCTTTTCTTGCTTCATTAGATTTTGAAAGTGTCGTATGGCTTCTAGTTATCATAATTTTTGTTATTTAGACCACCTGCCTTTATCCTTGAATTAAATGTGTTTGCACTATACATATATTTTTGTTTCTTCTAATTAACATATTTTACTCGTAAGTACTTAATTTGTTTTTTAGTTTTAACACTGTACCACATATTTTGTATTCATCACAGGTCACATTATATATTTAACGAGTATCATAATAATCTTCTACGTATAATAAAACATATTACATATAATATAACATATAATAAAATTCTAAGTCGAATCTGTACATTAAATATATTTTTGAAAAATCTTATTGTAATAGTCATCATTATCGATAGAGAAGCCGAATCTATAGTTTTTAGAATTTTTGTCTGTCTGTGACCGCATCACGAGAAAACTACTGGACAGATTTTGATGAAATTTTGTATGATGATAGCTGGTTATCCGGGTCAACATATAGGATACTTTTTACTACGGGAATATATCACATTTCTGAGAAATTTATACTAAACTTTAAAACGTAACTAGGGACGAACCCGGGCAGAGCGAGGAATAGTCGCTACTCGCTAGTAATAAATACTTGTGCAAACTACATTCAAATACAATATATTAACCTTATGCAAACATTAGGAAACAAATATGTTCCATATAAGATACTAATACTTTCTAGAAGAATATTTTATTAATTTTATTTACATACATTTAAAATACAATAAGTCATAGTTGAATGATCACATGTTTCTAAACGCAAGGATTGTGCAAGGAAATATGTACGAGTATATAGGTCAATTGCATTTACTTGAAATCACTCGATTTGTAATAAGACCAAAGACTACGCAATATTCCAGTATTTTCTCCACCTGTCTGAAAGAAATAAGATAGATCGAGAGATATTGCTACGAGTAACTTGTTATGTAAAGAATTTCGTCATGAGACTTTAAGCTTCAAGCGTAGTTTTAAGTGAGCATAGTAAGTATTTAATTGATTAAAACTTAGGTCAAACTGCTATAATAAGGCTGACATTTTAACAGCCTTTTTCTATAAGGATTTAGAAGGTAGGTAGGTGCTTTTGAAGATAGGTGAGTGATTTTAAATTAGACTTTTGAAATAGGGAAGGTGGCTTTATGTCTAGAATTTTTTTTTCTATAGGGATGAATTGATAATGATTTTTTAAAAGTTTACTTTTTAACTCTCCACATTTCTTAACTTAAAAAAATATCATAAAATCATTAATTATTAATACTTTAATAAATTTTCCTCAATGAGTTTTTTAAATAATTATGCTCATGCATCGTAATATTTAATAAAGCAAAAAACGTTACACTTTAAACACTTTAGTAATCACAGGTCATTAAAACGCAAGTCCTACGTAATAGCCCTTAACGGTGTTGTCATTTTCTTGTAAGTATTGACTCAGAAGTAACATTCAGAGCATATATTTATTGCCATATGAAAGAAATATATATGAAGAACTTAATTGTTTCGTTTTGGAATTATTTTCTACAAAAGTTGATGACCGCGCCGTTCCTTATTGGGAAGTCTTGGAGGCGTAGCGTCACCGATGTGTTCATATGCATAAAATTAAAATTATCACTATAACAGCAAGTATTGTAACATTATATGTATTATGTTCTTTTGAATTTTAAGTAAAATTTATAAGTTTTTTAATATACCTTTAGCATTGTTTTAGATACAAAACCTTAATAAAAACCTAGATTTTAAGGTATTTTTTTGCATTTAGGTACTTATTTGGAGTTGTATTGAATGAGTCAGGTAAATGATATACATGATATGTACAAAACATACAGTTTATAAGAAGTAAATCGACGTGGCACGACTGTGGTTACTAAAGTTTTAAATGTTAACATGTCTGTACGTTCGTGATAAAAGGTTAAATTATTCTTCCCGGATCAAATTATCTAAATGTTATCTATCTTACATCACCAATACAAAAAGTACAAATGACTTATCAATTATTCAGCACTTAAAATTATTGGTATTTATTTTTTTATTAAATGTATTGTATTGTTACATTATCATATTTGATTGTTTCATTGTCATTTTTTGTGTATAATTGTGTTATTTAAATTAATTAATTTTAATATCGTTTTATTGATAAAGTGGAATAGATTTGTATGTAGATGACTGGTTTTAATTTAAATCTTTGAGTTTTTGTACATGGTCTATACGAGAAGAGCACTGCTTCCTCATCTAGAATATAGAAAAAAATGCTTATTTAAGGAAACTAATTATCAATAGTTTGATAAAAAATAAGAAGTGTTATTGATAATAAATTATATATCTTCAAAAGTATAGTTTAATATATCTCGTGCGTGCGATTATGATAATTGGCGCTGATTGTTATGAGGCTGAACCAGTGTAACCTCAGTGTAACAGTTAAGAACTACATATTTCGTATAGGCAATATGTATCGGGGACATTTTGAAAGGTAACTGTAGAAGGAGATACTGTTATTATCCTAAAATAGAGATAATTCGAAATCGAAGAATTGGCTGTTAGCTAGGTCACTGGTTTGATTCTCGCTTAAGCCAAATATTTGTTTTATACGTCGACAAAATAGATAGATTATAAAAATAGTACCTGAAAATAGTGTGAATCACTGATATACTTGCACCACAAGAGTATGTTGGACTTCTTAGAATTACTAATATACTGGAAAATTACTATGTTAAAGAATTATATATAATTCAACTATAATACCTATACTTTAAAATCATACCTGTTGCAATTAA